TTTCTATCATTTTCACAAAGACTTTATTTTGTACTGCAGTTCTCTTAAAGTGATGCAAACTAAACATGTCCACAGTCTGAGCTCTTTAACTGAAGAGGATGATTTAACATCTAAACCCTGGACTTTTTTAAACTTCTTATCTTTATTTGCACCCATCCTTTTCTCGTTTGTTTGTTTGAAATACGCCTTATTGTTTGTACATTGTATTATTTTGAGTGTTCTTTGTTGTTTAATAAAAAACCGTCTCTGCTTCCTGTTTCCTGCAGAGCTGAAGCTGTGAGTCAGCGAGGAAACACGAGTCTCTGACGGATCGGGGGCAGGCGGCTCCACAGTGGGGAGCCGTGACTTTGTGAATGAATGAATGGATGAATGAAGGTTTCAGGAGGAGAAACAGAGAAGGGTGGGAAAGGTGAGGAGGTGCGAAGATAAAACCCTGCGCAGGTCTGGACTGGCTCTGCCTGCGGCTGTCGTTCTTTCACCTCCTGCTGCAGCTGAACTGAACAAACAGTCCTGCTGCTCAGACCAGACTGGAACAACTCGCACCGCTCCAGTGATTTCCAACAACATGACCAGTTAAAGTTTATAAATAACTAACAATAATAACAAGCTTGTTTGGAACAAAGTTAATAATTTCTCAGGAGGAGCAGTGAAGGTGAGACGTAACCTGAGTCAGGAGACAAAATAATTCATAGTGAGTGATGTTATACAAACCTTCTGACTCTGCAGCTGCAGGGAAAACTGAGGCGTTAACCAAGAGTTAAAGAGAATTAACACCCAGGATGTGATTTCATGCAGGTAATTAGAGCTGGGTGTCATCAGCGTAACGATGGAGCTGAATGTCAGAAGGAAGGAGGACAAACACACAGCTGTGAGGAACACCAGCAGAGACGTGGGAGGCTGGGAGTTCAATGTTTTGAGTTGGACCAGCTGAGACGGTTAAATTGTGACTCTCAGCTACTACCACACCTCAGTATCACAGCAACAAGTGAGCGAACGACACAAACTGTTCTCTCAACTAAAACAGATCATATACAAAGATTTATCCAAGTGTGGTCGTTTTTTATCCCTTATTACTTTGTTAGTGTCTTTTAAATGCTTATATTTTCATCAGGTTGTCTCCTGGCATTCAGAGTGGACAACATGAGAGTTTCATTGCTCAGGGAAACATGTTTCCATCTGTGGAAATGACAGTTAGGGGTGTCCCGATACCACTTTTTCACTTCCGATACGATACCGATATTACAACTTTGAGAAATGTCCGATACCGATATTGACTCGTTACCAAAACAGTACAAGTCACACACTTTTAACTATTTTGTAATGTAAAATCTTAGAAAAGTCTTGATCAGGTCAAACAGTGAAAAAGAGTAGGTATGAGAAAAACTGACCCATTTATTTTTAACCAATGGATCACATACATTTTAAACTGAAGAACATTCTACAATTTAATAAATTGCAATACCCTGAAAAAATAACATAACAAAAACAAAATGTACTTTTAAAGTGTAAAATGATTCAAAATCACTCTAGTTATTATTATTTTTTTACCGTCTGTCAGCCTTGTGCTGCTTTATGGTGGAAATAACTGAAGGTGGGGACAAAACAAAACCCCTCATTATTGTC